CAATGTTGTTTCAATCATTCTGTGCTATCTGGGTACCTACCAATACAAAAGCATGTGAGGGCAGTCGCATACCCCTACAGATGATTGCTTGAATCTAAGCATATTTCCACATTGCCACCACAAACTTCAATATGTGTTACTAGATTTTAGGCATGGCATCAAGAACATTTCTAAAATTTTGCTGAATCCATCCATGATGAGCACAGAATTGTGAAGTGGAAGGAAAGATTTTGTGGTATTTTCTGTCCCCTGAATCATATAGAGCCACATTGCTGAAGTTACAACTGCAAGTCCTTTGGGGTTCGAGTCTGACAACATTGTCCTAGAGACTGACATTTTCAATGTCCCCCATTCTTCTTTGCAACATAGTTCAAGCTCAGTTAGAGCAGACAAAGAGGATTTACGAACAGCAATTTTCAGATATTGCCACACATTCTCAATTAGACTTTAGGATTTCTTATGTCAGTCTTTCAATTCCTCCATTTTCTCTCTCATATCCACAATTTTTGTCTAGAGGAGAATAGGTCAATGAGGGAAGCCCAGACATCCCTTCTGTAGTGACATCCTCCAACTTCCATGGTGTTTCCACCTGATATGTCCCATCTGACTATGTATCAGATGGGACATATAATCCCTCCAGAGAGTTCTAAGTCTTCTCCAGGGTCTTGCCTAGTGCAATGTGCCAAGAAAACCTCCAAAGGAAGAGATGCCTGAACCACCTCAACCTCAACCAACCCCTTTTGATGCAGAGAAGCAGCTGCTCTCTACTTTAGCTCCAATTGGATAACAGAACTCCTTTCCATATCTAAGGCTGAGTCCAGTCAAACTACAGGGGAAATTCAATTCAGATGCTTGAATTTAGGATCTCATTCTTTTGGTTATGATCCATATCTCAAGACCATAGCTGGGTGTCAGAACATAGACAGGTAAATCACAAGCTTTGCTTCTGGAATCAGCTCTTTGTTCAGCACAACTGTGGAGCATTGCCTGAAATTCTGCAGTTGAAGCCACAAATAATGGGATTTGAAAAAAAAAATAAATGAGTATCTAATAAAATGTCAAATATAATTTCTTAAGCTTCTTCTAATTTTCTTTTATGAACATATATATTGTCAAAAGAATTTGCTCTGCCTTTACACTCATGTCAACTTAAGTGGCACCCTGTTGTTAAGTTGAAGGCTTTAAGAACTTTTCAGGACCTGCTTCCCAGGGGTAGAAGTGTAATTGTATCAGTTTTATACTATTCCTCCAGAATCACATTTGTCATTTTAGACACTAATAATTTACCAAAAGGCCTGACACTCCAATTCAGCTCAGAGATGTTGAAGTTAGTCAATTTCTTCCAAACCAAACTCACCCATCCATGTCTTTGTTGACCTTCCCCTGTGCCCTAATCGCCCATTTGAACATGAAGGGGCCATTCAACAACTGTTCATGCTAGGACAGAAGAAACTGCCTAAAAGATCTTCACATGCTGAAGCATTGTGTTATTTTTTTTTTCAGTTGAACTAAGAGATTGCGTCCAAGTCTTGAAAAACAGTCTGACTCCCTAATCCCCTGTGCACCAGATTCAGACAACACAGACCAGTCAGGCAGGTGCTGATTTGAATGGATGAGTCAATGAATGTTTTTCAGAAAACAAAGTGCTACATCGTGTCCCCTTATCACATAAAGTGCCAAAGTGAAAAAAAGTTTAAGAGGTATGAATACTTCTACCAGATTTAGCTAAGTGAAGTGAGGTCACAAAAACAAACAGGAAACAAGTCTTTTTTTTGCTTCTGAAGTTTTTTTATTTTGACCTTTCAACCTTTCTGTCCAAAACCAAACACAGCTACAAAATCCTTGTCTTAGAGCACCGAATACAGTAAAATAAATTAAACCGACACTCTTGCAGTCTGTGAAATCAAGTGAATATAATCTGTCGATCCAGATGGTACCCTTGGTAGTTTTTCTGAAAACAGAAGCTCTGGTAACAAAGTTAGGCATGGTGACTGTTTGCCAGCTGATTTCACACTCTGAGCATAGTTGGTGGTTTTTACAAGGCCGCAATAAGATATTAAACACTCACAATTCTTCGCTGTGAAGAGGCAGATAACAAACGTGTGACCCTTAGCATGATTCATCTCCTTGACATACATCAAATCCGATGCCAGGAAGGAGTTAAAACAAGAGCTCAGAGAGGAGGGGCTCTTCAGTTGTAACAAAACACAAAAGAAGGTATTGTCCGAATTCAGCATGTGGAAATTTAAGAGCGCTCCTATCAGGTGAAAGCTTCACTCAGAAACTCCACTCGACACCAAATCCCCACCAGATGTCCCAACATTTCTCCAATTTATTATTGTTAATTGATATTTGCTTACTTATATAATTTACAATGAACCATAAAAATGAACCGTTGTCATGGAGAACAGAATGAATGACAGGTCAGGCCACCCTATCATGGCAAGTAACGTTTAAATGAGATTAGTATTTATAAGGACAGATCCACAAATAATAAGTGCTGCAGTGTTACGTTTGGTCACTTGTACAACCTACTGGAACCGTTCTTCGCCCAACATGTACAAAATAAATACACCTTCTGTACAAATGACTAAACATAAAACCAGGTATTGAACACACATGGAGCTGAAAATAACCTAAATGAGTACATTAAATATTCTCATCTTTGTTTTGTCTCTCTTCAACATTTTCACGATGTGGATGACTTGAGGTAAGCGACAAGGTCCTGGCGCTCTCCCTTCTTCTTGATGCCAGCAAAGATCATTTTGGTGCCGGGGATGTACTTCTTGGGGTTCTCCAGGTACTCCATGAGGGTGTCGTCACTCCAGACGATACCTGGTAGAATTAAAAAAAAAAAAAAAAGCTAAATTAGGTAAAGTTTCTTACCTTCTATTTACAATCTGGACCCATAAATTGTCACTGACCTTTGCTTTTGTTAGCATCTGTGTAGGAGTAGCCCTCCGCCTGTCCAGTCTTGCGTCCGAAAATACCATGCAGGTTGGGGCCCACCTTGTGCTTGCCCCCTGCCTCCACGGTGTGGCATTGAGCACACTTCTGGACGAAAACCTTCTTTCCTTTCTCAACATCCCCCATGATGAGCTCTGGAAATGGGAAAGCAAAGTGAAAGGTGAATTTCAGGGTCACTGATGTGTATAAACACACATAAGTGCCAATAATACCATCACAGACGCCGGGCACTACTGTATTTTTTTTTCCCCACAACTTTGAAGGTTACTTAAGGTGACACCGTGTTCCTCGTACCTAACAAGTGCGGCCTCCATAATGTAACACCAGCATCTGGCTGATGTAAATTCTAAAAAACCCGACAGGCAGATATGGCACTACAAAGCTGTTAGTTTCTTTCCATAAAAAGCAAAAGACGGTTGCCAGGTTTGAGAGGTAATTAAGGTCAGTCTTAATAGTATAAAGTCAGATGAGGACAGCTTTGATGTTTAGCTTCATGCAGAAAGAAGCCAACACTAATGAACTTAGCTAAAGGTGTTTTAATAATAGGTGCTTCTGTGGCCTCTGGTGTTTTGACTGGTAAGTAAAGCAGATTAGCTAATACGACATAAGCTTGATGGTCGTATCTTTACTTTGGTCAAATAAGGTTAATTTCAATTTAAACCCTACTTTCTTCTTTCTTTAAGAGGTTTAGAGTTCAATTCCCCCCAAAACATCTTAAAATGACCCCGATAATTCGGTGTCAGAATCACTTTAAGGGATTACATTTTCTTTTACACAATCACCAAACACTTAATTATTGCTTAACTACTATATAATATAATGTCAAGCTGAAGTAGGACGTGTCTCCTTGACTACAGCAATTTGTTGCTTTCTGAAAACATAAAATATAACATAAATTTATCTCCAACAGAAGGCACATGTGTTTAAGTCTAAAAGAGCGACTAAAAGAGCAAATTCGACCAACTCTAATCGCTGCTGTTCCGGACCGGCCTGGCTCTAGGTTAGACGCGTGAACATCTATAAAGGCAGTCAAGGATGCTTCAATGTCGCTGTTCAAGCAGAGCACTGACAACGCAGTTTCTGCTGAGAAATTTGCAGAAATCCGGTTGGCTTCTACGTAAATATGAAACGTTAATATAACCGCCAAAATGCCCGCATTGCTCCTTATAAAAGCCTCACGTTACTTAACCGTTACACAGTACGCAAAGAGAGCAAGTGAGCTATTCACCAACTTGTAAGCTAACGGTAACGGCACACCATGTCCTTAAACTCGCCCGGTTTTCTTCAGAGCCTTATTCTTAGAAAACTATATCTGCGTCTATCTATTTCGGAAATAGTAATTAAATAGAAGGCATAAAAATTACCTTTAGGCTAAAACGTGGCGGTAAAAAAAAAGTCTCTCGGAACAGAAGAGATGCAACTCTGTCAGCTGAGCAGCGCTAACTGGCGAACGTGCGAAGGTCACACCGCTTTAGAGGCACCGGCTTTTTACGTCATTACGCAATCACGTCACGTGCTAAGGGTTTACGCCACGCTCACGCTACATTCAAGGATAACTAGGAATTTTAAAGTTTATCAAACCATACCTCCATGTCTTCATAGGTTTTTACCGTGTAAAAGACTACTTTAAATGAACCAATGTATATTTATAGAAAAAAATATGCTAATTTTTTGTACTAAGTTGGAAATAAACGGAATATATTTCACTCAAAAACAAATGGATGGAATGATTGAGAACACTTGGGTAAATCGCGTTCCGATAGACAGTTAAGGCGTCTGGATAGCCTCCATCTGTCCCCAAATGACTAAAAACAGCTTAAATTGTTAAATTTGTACTGTGGAGAAATACCGAGGTACCTACATTTGTTAAGATAAACTAAGGTAAACATCTCAGGTATCGAAATCAAATTGATATTGAGATCGTATTAGAAATTTATTGAGGTTAATTTTTGTGCTGGTAGAACGAGATTGAGGATTAATCCTTTGGATCAAAGGTTCATAGGCTTACCTTGGTAAATACTTAGGTTTAGACCAGCATATTGACATTTTAAAGTAGCAAAACAATTTATCATTTGTTGTGTTGTTTCACGAGAAAGAGAAATAAGTACTGAACATACATATTAGCACTGAAGCTTAGTCTGAATTTTGTGATTTTACTTGGTTTTCAAATTTTATTCAAATTTAATTTAATTTTGTTTTAAGTTTCAAAATGACACAATTATAAAATGCTTTGGAAGACAGCTGGAGTCCAAATTCCAAGAGGAAAATCTGTACTCATTTTGATGCCATTTTATAAATTTATACCATTCTTTTTAATTTTGCATTCCTAAACAAACCATTCAATCCCCTTCTATCAGTTTTTAAATTTGAATTTAGGAAGTTTCATAAATTATGTAGGGAAACTATCCTAAAAATATTCAGACTTCATGCACATTTTAATATATTCTGACAATTATGAGAAATGTTATATTAGCCTTTCTCCCTGCTATGGATTGGCAACCTGTCCAGGGTGACCCCGCCTCTCTGGAGATGGGCACCAGCACCTCTGGCAGTCCCACTAAGGATGTGTAGGATAGTGGATTTAAGGAAATATTAAATATGCATATGAAACATGTACAAAAGAAGCAAAGAGAATTTTATGTTTTTGGTATCAACTGACACATTGTTGGTACAAAACTGTCGCTTGGTATTTTGCTTCCAAAAAAGTACAAAATGACCAAAACTGGCAGCAGTCACTCAAGCAACTCACTCAGCTGTTATTTAGTTCTACTTTAGGCAGTTTGACAGCCTTGACCTTATAAAAAAAATTAATCAGAGTTTAAATATTTAGTCATCTTTATAAGGCAAACTGTCATTGTATAAACAGTACATTAATTAAGTCAAGAGCTTAGAACAACAGACATTTTCTGACCAAAGTTCTGGACAATTGTACAAATCTTCCATTGAGGAAGGCAAAATGGCTTCTGGGAAGGTCATTCTAGGAAGCAGTCAATAATCTATAAGTAAGCTGGCTAAGTTAGCAACATGTTTTCATGAAAATGAAGCCTTAATGAGACTGTCTGACAATGAACTTGGACTAATAAATATGGATAGTAAACTGTGCACGTTTCACTTCTGAGCATTACTTCAGATCTGCAGTCAGCACAGCCTTCTGTAAACAAGTTATTACTAATCCCTGAGTTAATTAACTGATCGGAGCTGATCTGAGCTGAAGTCTAAATACAATCTAATCTGCCTTAGCAGTAAATACTCTGCTGTACCAAAAAAAAAAAAATCTGAGAACATGATGACACAATTAGGAAATTGTTACTTTAAATATGATCAAGTCCATCTAACTGCTTTTTTATTATTGTAATTATCTCTTTACTTCTCATTCCTGTTTTCCAAATAATTCATCCACTTTGAAAATATAAGAAAAACAAAGGAATTTTTTTGTCTTATGAATAGTGATATTTTACAAAATTTAAAACAATTTCACACTGCGTAAGTCAACTTAGGTTCATAACATTCTTGGATAATCCTTAACTCTAGCAAAACCATCATGTTTTATCCTATCTGAGTCAAGAACAGATATCTTATTTTCCTGTAGTTTTTTCCTATTTATGTGTTTTTCACTGCACCCAGTTTATTTATTTCTTATATATATATTATGTTTTCACTTAAGCTACAATGATTTGTTGAAGAACTTTTAAATCTTGTCCTGGTTTTCAGAAAGGCCGTAACTAAAGAGGATTAGTGTTTCAGAGGTAGATCAAAGGTGACAGAAAGCATCAACATTCGTTACCACTGCTTTGGTTTCTTTTATTACATTATAACATTTAACATTCTGGAAAATAATTGTTACACAATCTGCTTTAAAGTATTCTGGAAATACATTTAGGAGGAATTCTGGCCAGGTTTAAGCTAAAGGGTGAATAATGTGACAGTGTTTCATCAAATTACATTAAAATTTATTTAATTTCATAAAATAGAAAATCTGGTGAAGAAAATCTAAAACAATCCCTAACACATTAAAAATTAAATTACCACACTTTTTAATTCTATGACTGTTGGGTTAATTGGTTTCTCTAAATTTTCCCTAGGTGTGGTCATTTGTTCTGTGTGTCTATGAAGCTGTGCTGAGAGTATAAAAAATAGTTGGATGAGAATAGGACTAGTAACTCCTAGTTATTTGGAAATTTTTTCCATCTCTTAAAATGTTCATAGGTGAAATGACAGCATCAGTAGATGGTAGTAAACAAGACTTTGCAGTCTTGAAAAAACTGGTTAGAAATCAGTCATCAGCATTATCAAGTCATGTGTTTCAATACTTGTGTGAACACACAACAATAATCAGAAAAGTTTTGTTGAACTTTCACAATGAACAAATATGATGAGTAACAAGTTTTTCTGAAGTCCTCTTGTATTTGATTTTTTTTTCTATTTTCTCCTGGCTCTGTCCACATTTCAGGGCAAAGCGAAGACTTCAGGTTAGAGTCAGTCAGGGTAGCCTCTTGTCACTGATCCTGTTTCTGATGCTCTTAGACAAGATCTTAACGCACATCCTTACTTCATCATGGACTTTTAGGATTTGGACATCAGACCAACCACTCGCTGCTCATTGCACAATCCTTGCTTATCTGGATGCCAAAAGACACATATGTTCAGACGCTTTAGTTGAATTAATCCCCACTTGTCAGGTTCAACGGTAACTGAACCATCTGGACCTAAAACAATATCTACCCTTGTATTTTATTTTCATCTGGAGAACCAGTTTTGACTGGCAATAGCCAAATTTTGTTGGCTGGCAAAGGTCTAAAGACATGCACTTTTAAAAATATAAGTTGGGTCCATCTGTCCGTTTGTCCATCTATCTATCCACTGACTTCTGGTTGTCTTAGACTGGGTCATGGGGTAACAGGTCCAAAACCTTTGTTTCTGGGTTTGCACCAGGCTTTCTTCATAGTGGGATGTTCCTGAAAAGCAACCATTGTCATGGAACCAAGAGGCATTCATCAGATCCCAGGAAATCTGGTGAAGTAATGGTTCTACTTTAAGCCCCCCTCCCTCAGATGACAGAGCCTTTATGGTTGAAAGGGGGTGTCAGATGTGAAAACCTTGGTTTTTGGCTTTCACATCTTGTCTGTCAAGTGAGGTGGGATTGGACAGGCATCAGGTGCTGACCAGGAACACCTGGGCCCAACATACCTGCTATGTTTAAGCCAACTGCTCCCAACATTTTTGGCTGATTTCTGCCTTACATTGAGTTTGGCTTGATTGGGTTCAGTTTGCTCCTGACCACCATACATCACTTATATATTACTCATAAACATTCACACCCCATACCAATACTTTAATGAGTCCTAAAGGCCATAAATCAGGTGTTTTGGATTGTATTTCGGGTATAAATTAAGAAAAAATATAACTATCAATTGGTTGACGTAATTATAGTTTTTTTCCATTGGATGACCCTAAATCCCCGCATAATAAATCGTTGAGTTGGAATTTCTACAATATATGCAATAAAAAACAATAAAAGCAACGTTCTTATAGAAAACAATTAAATGACGAAATTATGATAATCATTTTCTATGTTTTTTCTTAACGGAAGTGTAATTCATAATTATTTTTTCTCGAAACGAGAGAAGTTTGAGACGATCAAATTTCCTGTTTTAAACTCATATATTAAAATGTTTATATCAATATGTAACTTTTGGGTTGTTAGGAACACAGGAAAAGTCGGAAATATCCACAGTCTGAGATCTGCACTCGTATATGTAAGAGCGAAATAGCAGCTTCGAGAACTAGCGCAGGGTTTCTTCTTCTTCTTCTTCTTCTTCTTCTTCTTCTTCTTCTGAAGAGCACCCAAACGCATCACCGGCGATTGCAGAAGAAAAGCAAAGATGGAGGACAGCTCTTCAAAACAGATGCCCGAAAACCTGGACGACCCTCCGAACAGCCGTCTGTTCGTGGTCACCAGTCGGTCTATAACTGAAGACGAGCTTCGGGAGAGTTTTTCGAAGTTTGGGGAGGTTCAGGGGGTCTGGCTGGTCAAAGACAAGCAGACAAAGGAGCCCAAAGGCGTCTCATATGTGAAGTTCGCTAAGTCGTCACAGGCCTGCTTAGCCATGGAGGAAATGCACGGAAAGGTGCTGCAGGAGGGGACTAAACCGATAAAGGTACGACTAATGGGCTGGTAATAACGGAGAAGTTACACCAGCTGACTGAAATATAATCTATCAATGTTAATATCTAAGTAAATTCGGTTAAAGCTGTGGCTAACATGCTAATGGCTAACCTGATAACAGCTAACATGTTCTTATCATGTTAGCTATTATTTACCCTCCAGGTCACGCTCTAAGTGGGTCTCTTTTGACCCGGTGAGGTCATTTCTTTGCAATATCTTTGTAATGTAAAGTTTTCATCATTTCATATTCCAGGTATTCCTCAAAAACCATGTTACTGATATCCAATTACATTTTTTTAATTTACCTTTTATAAATTTTAAGAAATGGCACTTTTTAAATTACTACCCCATTTTTCCGTTAGTCTGTCAGTAGCTCTGTGTGTGTTTTCATTGAGATTTCTTCTTTTTTTAAATAAAAAATTAATTTATGCTTTTTTTTTGGAGGAAAATAGCTTATTTTGAACAGTTGTCTCTTGTTTTGGATCAATATTTTGCCAAAAATATTGATTTTTGGCAATATTTTTTGTATTTTTGTTATCTTGTTATGATGCATAACCATAGCAACAGGATGGTTTACAACAGGGAGCAGCTGATCAACATTGGAAAAGCTGAAATAATACCACAGCTGAAACCAGAAAGCCCAGAGGAGTTGAAAAGGAGGCATCATGGATGCAGAGCAGGAGCAAAAAAAACAAGATTTCGGATTTGTTTTATGCTAATGTCAAGGATGCATGTCTCCAAACCAAGACCTCATCTGAAGAAATCTGACTGTAAACTTGTTTTTCTCTGTTCTGAATACAAACCTTTGTTGAAATACAGGAGAAGTACAGGAAGAAGCTGGAGAATAAACTGCAAAGGAACATCATTAGAGATGTGTGGTCAGGGATGAAGAAGATTAACAACAGGCTTCAAGCAAAAGGAGGATCAGATTGATGGAAGCCTTGACAGAACAAATGAGCTGAACACATTTTTCAACAGGTTCAGTTCAGGAACAAGTTCATCATCGTCATCCTCTCCTGTCCTCTACCATACAGAGGTCCCACCTTCCTTTGACCCACAGCTTTCCTGTCAAACCTCAGATGTCCTATCTTCTACCTCAGTTATGGACTCTTCTGCTTCCACAAGTTTGTCTTCAACCAAAACAGGAGAAGCTGCTGCTCCCTTTGCCTCCCCATCCCACTTTTCTGTATCTAGAAGCAAAGAGGCAGCTGGAGAGAATGAATCAGAGCAAGGCTGCAGGTCCGGATGGTGCCAGCACCAGAGTCCTGAACGAATGACAGCAAATCTCTGCTTTATCTTAATTTATGAATATGATTTATTAGACTATAATATGGATGTTGTTTTGTGTGTTTTTTTAGGTGTTTATAGCACAGTCACGAGGATCAGCCAGACACAGAGACGTTGAGGATGAAGAGCTGACCAGGATCTTCATCATGATTCCCAAAACTTTCACAGAGGAGGATCTGAAAAACACATTCAGAGTAATTACTCTTTTACAATATAATTTTGTCATTTATTTTAAAATGTAAAGCAAATATGGTGAAATATTTCAAGCCTTTATTTTATAAGTTCACAGATAAATCGGCCCCAATTTCCTTTGTTTTGGAAGATCAGTGATTGGCCGATACTTAGATGTGAAACTGATCTTATCCAACAATCTTAACTACCTCTATCAACCACGGATCTGCTTTTGTCCGCTACACAGCAGACAGTGCTGCTGCTCATCCTCAAGTGGAGCCAGTTGATGCAGAAAGAAAGATGGCAGAGCAACGCCAGAACAGGAATGAGAAATGGCCCAGAGTCTGGTTAGGGATGCAAAATGATTTTGAGGGCTGTTGTGAGTTAGTGCACTTCATGAAGCATTCCTTCAAGAGCAACTACAGACAGTTTCACATAAATAATGCCATCCATCCATTTTCTCCCGCTTATCCGGGATCGGGTCGCGTGGGTAGCAGCTTCAGAAGGGAGGCCCAGACTTCCCTCTCCCCAGCCACTTCTTCCAGCTCCTCCGGGGGAACCCCAAGGCGTTCCCAGGCCAGCCGAGAGACAGCGTGTCCTGGGTCTTCCTCGGGGCCTCCTCCCGGTGGGACGTGCCCGGAACACCTCACCAGGGAGGCGTCCAGGAGGCACCCTGCCCAGATGCCCGAGCCACCTCAACTGGCTCCTCTCGACGTGGAGGAGCAGTGGCTCTACTCTGAGTCCCTCCCGGATGACTGAGCTTCTCACCTTATCTCTAAAGGATAGGGTGGCTGGGCTCCGTAGAGCCTACCCTTCTTCCCTCATTCGTGAACAAGATCCCGAGATACTTAAATTCCTCCACTTGGGGCTGGACCTCCATGCCCCCCAACCCGGAGAAGGCACTCTACCCTTTTCCGGCTCAAGACCATGGCCTCGACCGATACTTATTTTTAAAGTATAAAAATACTTTTTATCTTTTATTTTTCTATTCAGCAACCTAAGAGGTTTCTTTTTTATTTTTTTAATAAATATGTCAAAGTTTATTAATGTGAGAAAACCACAATTTTCTTTTTTTTCAGTTAGCTGACACAAAATAATGTTAAAATGTAATGTGTTTTCTTTTTTTTTTTAATTCAGTTATGAAAATGTGTAGAAAGTCGGTTAGCCATCTTAACACAAGAGAAAACTCAAGTTTTTAAGAACGTGGCTACTAATCAATTGTTAATCAATAAGACCAATCAACTTTAGAGTACCTTGCATACCTGTTCAGAATATTAGAGCAGCATTTGTTTAATATCTGTCCCATGACTGTTTTCCAGGAGTACGGAGATATTGAATATTGCATCCTCATCAGAAACAAAGTCACAGGTGAAAGCAAAGGCCTTGGCTACGTGCGCTACTACAAACCCTCTCAAGCTGCCCTTGCCATCGAGAACTGTGACAAATGTGAGTCTGTGCCGGGTCGGTCCACTGGTTCAGGTTGTAGTGTGGAATTTATCACTTGAGAAGCAGTTTTGGAAACGTTCATAACAATAGATTTCATGAATTAGAACCTCAGCCAATGTCTTGTTGGTTAAATACAAAAACTGTGGTACTGTCTCCAGCTTACAGGGCCATCCTCGCTGAACCCCGCAGTAAAAATAACTCCTCCGAAGATTACTCTGCAGGAGGGGCGAGGGGGGGAGATTACAGCTCCAGTGACTCCATGAACCAATACCCCATCATCACCCGTATGCACTTTAAAAACACGATCAAACGTTTAAAATCTGAACTTTTTTTTGTTTCTTACCTTGTTTGTTTTTGTTTTTCTGTACTACAGCTGATCAGGGGAACTACTCCATGATGGACTACCGCCAAAGCGAGTTCACCCGCTCTCTGATGGTGTCCACGCGGGCCGCGCTCACCCAGGAGCAGATCTTTGCTCTGTTTGACCTCATCCCAGGCATGGAGTACTGTGAGCTTCACAGAGACTCGTATGGTATGAGCAAAGGTATTCTCCCCCACTGTGGATTAATTCTGCTGTGTGTTTTATCAGGTCTGATATGATTGTTCTCACCGTTCTAATGACTTTCAGCGGCAAATGGAGGTCGATACATGGTCGAGTTAGAGAGCAGTTGTGAAGAGGGGGTGGGAGGGTCTCTTTGTTACACAGCTTGAAAAGTTTGAATTACAATATAATGGTTTCACAATATCGTCATGTTTACACAAAATGTTGGTTTAAGAAAAACAAACAATGTTGTATAATAAATTAAATATTCAGTCCCTCCAGTGTCAAATAAAGACCAGTAGATAAAACCTTAAAACCTTAAAAAAAAGAGGTTAAACATTAGGTTTAAGTGACTATCTCCCACCTGCAGGTGGCAGTATGTCTTACTTGTACTGCCGTCTCTTTATGTGAAGTTATAGTCTGTGATTAATATGGTAAGTAATAAAAATGAAGTTATTTAAGTTCTTTACAGAGTGAAAATGTTTATGTTCAATCTGTCCATTTTTCCCCTTTTTTTAAAAGATTTTATTGGCTCTACTGGCCTTTATTTGATAGTGAATTAACAGGAAAATGGGTAATGAGAGAAGGGAGAGGACATGTGACGAAGGTCGCCAGGCCGGGAATCTGACCTGCGACAGCCGCGTCGAGGACGAAAGCCTCCATATGTGGGTTGCACTTAATCCCTGAGCCACCATAGCACAACTTTTTTCACTTTTTATATGTGAAAATTTAGAAGTGGTGTAATGACAAAAAACAAATCACAAAATATTTTTGGAAACAATTCTAAAGTAGCATCACAAAAACTGATTTTGACTGCAAAAAATGAATTGCAAAATCCTGGAGGGGCTGAATATACCTCATACCCATTAGACTATTATTATTGAAAAGTCAGTAATTTTCAGTAACTTTATCAGTAAGTGAAACACATGTATATTATTTACAGATATTTGCAATCTGTTATTTTTGTTAATTGTGATTGTCCACCATGAAATAATGAAAATATCACATTTACATATCACAGATACCACATCAGAACAAAAACAGAAAAAATTTTAAAAACAGAAATATGATCATATATCTCAGTACAATAACTTCCAACTATTGGAAGAGTATGATAGAAAAGTCTTTAAGCTGTTTAAAACCTTGATACGGGTAACTGGGCCCGTTATGACCAAACCCTGGCGTTGATGATGTCATCACACATGGCAAGTCAGCAGTTTTCGATCAGTTTGTTAGAGATATCAAAGGAGACTAAACAAATCTGTTCAGAAAAGATTCAAAGAAACATTTTCATAGGAAGCAGAAGTTTTGGTGTCAGCAGTTTGTGTTGGTTCTGATTGGAGATGACCCGCCTAAATTGGGCTCCTCCGTGTGCCTCCAGGTCACGCTCTGATTCGCTACAATAATCTCGGATCAGCAGTTTATGCCAAGGAGAAGCTGAACGGCTTTGAGTATCCACCTGGCAACCGAATTCAAGTGGCTTTTTACGAAGATGGAGAGAGGTACCACACACACACACACACACACACACACACACCACATTGCTTAAGGTAGCATTGGATGTTGTTTTAGAGAGAGCATTCACTGTCAATAATCTTTCTAATGGACAGTCAATTGGCAGAGCCTTGAAAATGTTTTCACACCTCTTGAACGTTATCACATTTTGTTTCTTTACAACCACAAACTTCAGTGTGTCAGCAGCGGTACGTTAAGCAGTACAATGCAGTTGAAACCAGAAATTTACATACATCCAATAAAAACATGTCTCAAGTTAAGTCAGACCAATAACAAATAAAAGTATTTCTGTTTGCTAGTGATGATGACAGAATGTGTCAGAGATTTATTTATTCGTGTCTTCAAAATCAGAAGTTTACATACAGAATGCTTACTGTCTCTTTAAGCAATGAGGCCAAGCCCAGGGGATGATGTCATGGCATTGAAAATTTTTGACAGGTTAACTGACACATTTGAGTTAATTGGAGTCAAGCTTGTAGTTGTATTTGAAGGCCACATCTCAAATATGTGGGGTTCTTTTTGAAACAACGGAAAGCCAGAAGAAATCGGCCAAGATATGAAGTCAGTTCTATGGAGAAAATGTGGGCAGGTCTGAAAAAGCGTGTGACACTAAGGAGGCCCACAAAATGGACTCAGTTCCACCAGTTCTGTCAGGACAAACCAGAACTCTAGCAAACAGAGGAGCATGAAGAACGAAACCCAAAAGGTTTGATCAGAGTCATACAGTTCAAAGGCAATACTACAAAATACTGAGGAAATGTATGTAAACTTCTGATTCTGAAGACATTAATAAATAAATCTCTGTCATATCCTTTCTGTCATTATTGTGATATTTAGTAAGTAGAAATAAGTTAGGTAACTTTGACTAACTTAAAATAATAATAATAAGATTTAACTTCAGACAGAGAAAAAAATTCTTATTGGGTTTATGTAAATTTAGAGTCTCAGCCAAACCTGGGGGAAAAAAATCAGACATTGTTACAAATCTGTTCAGGAGATATATTACAAATCAAAATCTGAGAAGTGTACTCTACTTATTATATAATCAAACCCCTTTACTCTGATGCAGGAAAATCTAATCTAGTGCAGCCAGTTCCCTCAAAAGTTATGTATTTAATAAATTGAGTCTGTCTGGTTGTCATATAATGTTTTCAGAGAAAAACATTTGAAAATGAAGACGGACTGATCTGTCGTAGAATTGAGTTAATTAATATGTAAAAGAAAACATGTACCATGACGACATGACCTGTAATAAATGTAACCCAAAAGTGTCACAATGTATAGCCATAGAAATCCTGAATACATTGTACTATATTGCAATGGTACCAAAATTATGGCATTATTACAATTATTCAGTTATGTCAAAAACGATTGGTTTTTGATCAGAGTCAAAAACTTGATCATAGAGAACTTGACTGATGGGAGGAAGAGCGAGAGCGTTTGAATGCTAGTAACGTTGTTTGTGTTCAGCCCTGCAGGCCGGATGGCCTCTCAGTTTGTTACAGCCCAGATCCTCTCCTCAGTGTGGAACGGAGCCAACAGCAGTATGATCAAACCCGCTGTGAGTTTATTCACTTCCTGTTCTCCTTCCAGCTCCTCCTATTGCAAATACATTCCTTCACATGACCAAATATAGTCCCAGTTGTAATGAACAGATTTTTGCTTAAAAAACCCCAAAAAAACAAATTGGTTCCTTCAGAATTTCACAATTGTTTTGTAATTGCTTTTTCTTCTTACAATCAAAATAACTGATTTTGTTGTGCTACTTCAGAAATATTTGCAAGGAATTTTGTGATATTAACGCTTAAGTGTGAAAATAAGTGGGACTTTTTGTTATTCACCATATTGACTAAACATCCAGGTAGTAGTAGAAGTGTGAAATACTGCCTCCTACAGATGGACAGTAAATCAATTTTATCTTTAGTAACATTTCCTTGCTTTGAAGATTTATAGTTTTGCAAAATCTGGATTTTGTTTTTTCACCGGTCCTCTGTAGCCAACCCAAGAACTACCATCTTTCCCTCTCCCCCAACTCTGATTTCAGGTCATCTGAAATAAAGTCAGCTTTTAAAGATATTTTCTGTCATTTGTAAAAATAAATAAATAAATAAATAAAATAATTCAAGGGGAAAAGAATTGATTAAAATTGTAAATCAGATTTCAATCTGATTTGACTATGGCTGTAATTCATGTCTTCCAGCCATATTGCCACATGCAGGCGGGAGGTAGCATCAATTAAACCTAATGTTTTTAGTAAACTTAATATTTCCCACCCAGATGTGAGAAAATGCGTCTCTCTCCACCAGGGATTCTCGTCTGTCTCACAAATGTCTCGCATTCAGACGGACGTCACCCTGCCGCCTCTGAAGAAGCTCGCTCCGTCCGACAGTAAGGCCAAAGAGCGCCTGTTTGTTGTCTTCAACCCCTCCCCGCTGCCGCTCGACGTGCTGGAGGACGTCTTCTGGTAAACGTCGTCACTCCTCTCCATCGCCGTGTTTCTGCGTTATCTCACAGCTAAAACATGCCTGCTAATGTCTGTCTCTGCAGTCGCTTTGGTTCCCTCATCGAGGTCCATTTGGTTCCAGGAAGGAAGGTTGGATACATGAAGTATGCTGACAAGCAGGTGAGTCTCTTAGGAGTGAATGAATAAAGTCAAGTTTATTTGTATAGCACATTTCATCAACAATTCAAAGCTTTAGATCAGAAAAATTCTTTAATCCTGTAAATGTTCTTCATTTGCTGTAATAACTGACTAACCTAAAATAAGATGACTATTTGAGTGGTGAGGTCCAAAGATAATAACTTGAGTTTTATTTCTGTTCAGCTAGAGAAAGTTATGGCGCATCCTTACGTTGATTTGTTCTAAGCATCTGTTCAGTGCTTAGATGGATTCAGAGTTAATTAGTCACATAGTAATGTAAAGCTGTGTATCATCTGTGTAAATATGGTCACTGTTATTCTTGTTACAACGTGAGCTGGCAGGAGGATGTAGAT